GATTGAGATCATGCAGTGCTTGTCTCTCTCTGGCTTATTTCCCAGATAAGGACCTCCACGTGCCTCTAACTGTCACAAATGGCAGGCTTTCCTTCTCCTTAAGGCTGAAGAATTCCCCACGGTACACAGATTTACCCCATTTGCTTTACCCCATCAAGTGCCGACACTGTTCCCACGTCCTACTGTTGGGATGCTGCCGCAATAACCACGCAGGTGCGGCCATCCCTGCGAGACAGGGATTTCGTTTCCTTTGGCGGCACACCCGGGAGGGGACGGCTGGGTTAAAAGGCAGGACTACTTTTTGAGGAACCTCCATAGTGGCTGCACCAATACACATTCTCATTGACAGTGGGGCTAGGGCTCCCTGTTCCCCGATCCTCTCCAGTACGGCATCTACTGCCTTTCTCTCTCCTTTTTAATCCTCACCCGAGGATATTTTCCCATTGATTTTTAGGGAGAGTTGGAAGAGGGAAAGATGGAGAGAAATATCGATGTGAGAGAAACACATTGATTGGCTGCCTCCTGCACCAGCCCTGACCAGGGCCCGGCCCGGGGAGAAGCCTGCAACCAAGGTGTGTGCCCTTGACTGAAATCGAACCCAGGACCCTTTGATCCATAGGCCAATGCTCTATCCACTGGGCCAAACCGGCCAGGGCTCATCTACTGTCTTCTGTAACAGAGCCATCCTCACGGGTACCAGGTGACGCTGGCACGGACTGCACGCATTTCCCTGATGTCAGTGTGGCCAAGCGCCTTTCCAGGGGCCGTCTGCATGTCTTCTGGGAGAGACGTCCCCTCGCGTCCTCTGCCGTTTTCCAACTGAATTATTGGTTTTCTTTTTTCTTGAGCTCTGTGAGGCCCTTCCATATTTTAGATATTAGCCTCTTATCAGATGTATGACTTGCAAGTATGTCCTCCCATCGCAGCTGCCTTTTCATTTTGTTGATGGCACTTCTGCTGTGCCACAGCCTTTCTGGGTGACGTGGTCCCACTTCCAATTTTTGCTTTTGTTGCTTGTGCTTTTATTGTCAGATGCAAAAAAAAAAAAAATCATTGTCACAACCAGTATCAAGGAGGTTCCCCTGCTTTCTCCCGGGAGTTTTATGGTCTCAGGTCTTACGTTTAAGTCTTTTATCCATTTTGAGTTGATTTTCCTTAATGGTAGAGGTAGGGACCCACTTTCATTGTTCTGCATGTGGAGATCCAGCTTTCCCAGCACCGTTTACTGAAGAGACTGTCCTTCCCATTGTGTGCTGGCACCCTTGGCATAGGGTAACGGACTGCATGTGCATGGCTCACTGTTCTATTAGCCTAAGTGTCTGCTTTTACGCCAGTACAGTGCTGTTTGGTTACTCTGGCGTTGCAACAGATTTGAAATTAGGAAATGAGATGCCTCCGGCTTTGTTCTTTCTCAAGATTGCTTTGGCTATTTGGGGTCTTTTGTGATTCCAAATGAACTTAGGGCTGTTTTTCCTATTTCTGTGAAAAATGCAGTTGGAATTCTCACAGGGATTGCACTGACTCTGTGGAAGGTTTGGGAGGATGGACACTTTACCGATATTAATTCTTCCAACCCGACAGCACAAGACAGCGCTCCGTTTATTCCCGTCTTTCTCACTGAGGTCTCACAGTTTTCAGCATAGAGGGCTTCGTCTCCCTAGTGCAACTGATCCCAAAGTCTGTTTTTTATGCTGCTGTACGGGGCTGCTTTTCCTCATTCACCCGTCGGCGGTTCACGGTCAGTGTGCGGAAGCACAACTGAGTTTTGCAGGTTGAGTTTGTACCCTGCAGCTTCACTGAGTTCACTGATTAGTTCTAACCGCTTTAGGGGCGACTTTAAGGTTTTATATGTGTAAGACTATGTCATCTGCAAACAGAAACAATTTTATTCTTCCTTTCTGATTATAATACATTTTAGCTCTTTTTCTTGCCTAACTGCTCTGGCTAGGACGTCCAACACAATGTTGAATAGAAGTGGTCAGAGTGAGCATCCTTGTCTTGTTCTTAACCTCAGAGAAAAACTTTAAGCTTTTCACCACTGAGTATGATGTTAGCTG